GCACTGACCTACATCCACAGGACAGAGGCGAAAGGTGCACGCACAAACCAGAGAGGGAAGACCAGAGACCGGACCGCAGACCAGAGAGGGAAGACCAGAGACCGGACCGCAGACCAGAGAGAGCAGACCAGAGACCACAGTAGAGACCGTATAGAGACTGCAGACCAGCGAACGCAGGCCAAAGACCGTAGACCACAGACCGCAGACCAGAAAACGGCCTCAGTCTCTCATATCCATGTGTTAGAACGGCCCAGTCCAAGTCCAGAACTAAATCCAACAGAAAATCTGTGGAAAGACCTGATCACCAACGCTCTCCATCTTTTTTGACAGAGCTCGAGCTGTTTTGTAAAGAAAAACGGGCAAAACGTTCTGTCTCTAGACGTGCAAATCTTGTAGGGTCATGGCCCAAAAGACTTGATCATTTATGACTTAGTTTGAGTTGATGGAAACGACCGGTTCAGTTTTACCGAGACTGGATCCATGTCGCTGCAGTGAAGTTCAAACGGGTTTTATTGATGATTTTTAGACTGAATCCTGCGTCAGAAAAGTCACATGATCAGAGGAGGACTAGTTCTTGGTTTTATCTTTTTACTGTTTTATTTATTTATCGAGCAAGTAAATATAATCTCAAGTAACTTATGTACATTTACAAACTATATCAAAACAAAAACATTTATGGAACAAAAAGAGTAATAAAAGTTACTTATGCTCGAAAAGGACTGAGAAGAAGTCTTTGACGGGACAATTTTACAAAACACTATTTCTTATTTCAAGCAAATAAAATAATAATTGCGACTTCGGTTTGAATAAAGAAATAGATTAAAAGCACTGACCTCATTTGCAAATCCTTCTGGATCCGAGCGTTTTACTCAGACCGCGGTTATGGAGGATGTGGACTTCCAATTCCACGTTATTCACTGGAAAATATCCCTTGAAAAAATAAGAAAAAAAAATATGAAAATGAGTAAAAAACTGCTTAAAATAATCAAATTGATCTGAAAATACAAGAAGACCAGATTTCTGAAAATAAGAAAAAAACCTCGTCCCAAACGACTCTAGTTTAAAAACATTTAAAGTATTATTTACTTATTTATTAAACCTTTTTGAGAAACTTTTTCTTAAAATACAACATCACAAACTTCTTTTATCTAAACATGAAAAGTTGTCTGGAAATGAGGAAAAAAACAAGCATTAACTTTTTTCTCCAATAAGATGATGAAGTCTTGTCTGAAAACGTGTGAAATAATCTTATGACAAACCACCTTCAAGCATAAAAAGTAGTTAGTAAAAAAATCTTAACAACATTTTACTTTTTTCAGCGTTGAAATTCTGCGTTCAGCATTTTGTTCTCAATTCAATTCCATTTCAACAGTGTTTACCTCAGAGGCCTTTCCAAAAGCTTCAAATTCTCCACCGCAGATCAGAGGATCAAACTCAGCAGAAACATGACGTTATGGAGACGGTAATCTGACAGGGCAATAAGTGACCGCTAATTGTTCCTTCCTCGTCAAACAAACGAGCCACAGGTTGGGCGTTGGGCGCTGGCCGTTGGGCGTTGGGCACTGGGCGTTGGACGCTGGGCGCTGGGCGTTGGGCGCTGGGCGTTGGGCGTTGGGCGCTGGCCGTTGGGCATTGGGCGTTGGGCGCTGGGCGTTGGGCGTTGGGCGCTGGGCGCTGGGCGTTGGGCGTTGGACGCTGGGCGCTGGGCGTTGGGCGTTGGGCGTTGGACGCTGGGCGTTGGGCGTTGGGCGTTGGACGCTGGGCGCTGGGCGTTGGGCGTTGGGCGTTGGGCGCTGGGCGTTGGGCGCTGGGCGTTGGGCGTTGGGCGCTGGGCGCTGAGCGCTGGGCGTTGGGCGTTGGGCGTTGGCCGTTGGGCGCTGGGCGCTGAGCGCTGGGCGTTGGGCGTTGGGCGCTGGGCGTTGGGCGTTGGGCGCTGGGCGCTGGCCGTTGGGTGTTGGCCGTTGGGCGTTGGGCGCTGGGTGTTGGGCGTTGGATAAAGGTTGATAAATGAGACCCATTGTATATTGTTTGTGCTCTGTGTCTCTTATTACTGTCCTGTCTGTGCGCTGCAACACTGGAATTTCCCTACTGTGGGACCAATAAAGGATCTTGAATCTGATCTTAAGGAGATAAGAGACTGTAAATGCAGTTCTGAAAATGGTCTCGTGTTTGTGGTAAAAAAGTAAAATGATCAACAAAGTCTTTCTCTTATTAATGTCATTCTGAAAAAAGTTTCAGTTTCAAAAAATGTTGTTTTTAATTTCAATTTCTATTGATTTTCCCTGACAATAGTTCACGGGACAGAACTCTGTGGTGTTTGCATCATCGGTACAACTGTCCAAATAAAATTAAAAATAATAATACATAAATATACTGTTCCATAAAGCATCACCTCTGATACAAGAGTGGCAGAGTCCTAAACCACAGCAGCCGTCAGGGAGAGACGGAGGATTGTACGAAGTTGTGGATTCACCAACGACAGATCAGAAAATCAAACAGTTCGGACACAGAGAAGACGATAAAACAAACATTGGTCCAGAGCGGGACCAGCACAGTCCAGGAGGGTTCTGGTCATCGCTGTCCTTAGACTCTAAGGGCCCGGTTCCCACGCACGGTCTCAGCCAAATAGATAAATACATCAAAATATACCAACAACATGTTTAACACATTTTTAACATTCTGCCTCTTGTCTCAACGTTAGAATGAACTGAGCAATACCAGGCCCCTGGTCTGAGGGCCCTGGTCTGAGGGCCCTGGTCTGAGGGCCCTGGTCTGAGGGCCCTGGTCTGAGGGCCCTGGTCTGAGCGCTCTGGTCTGAAGGCCCTGGTCTGAGGGCCCTGGTCTGAGGGCCCGGGTCTGAGGGCTCTGGACCCTGGACTGGGTCTAAGGCTGTGAATATAGTACTCTGTTGGAAAACAGTTTTATTTCTTTTCATTCGACAAAATCTTGCAGATTATTTCAGTGTTTTTTAAATCAGTAAAAAGAGAACGAGGCAGAAGCTCGTCTGTCCTCTGAACTGAAGGTCAGAGTTTACAAATCAGTCCTGGATCTACAGCCTCAGTCCTGGATCTACAGCCTCAGTCCTGGATCTACAGCCTCAGTCCTGGATCTACAGCCTCAGTCCTGGATCTAGAGCCTCAGTCCTGGATCCCATCAGTGTGTGGGAGGGGATCCCTGTCCCACTGTGGTCCTTCCTGAGGCGTCTCACTGTTCCCTCTGTGGTTCTCAGTGGTTCTGTAGCAGGAGGCTCTGAGGACACAGTTTGCAGTTTGTTATTACTACATTCCCGGAGCTTCAACTGTTTGATTCTCTGATCCGTCGTTGGTGAATCCACAACTGTGTAAAGTCCTCTGAGGCAACTGCTGCTGTGATTATGTCCAAATGATCAGGTAGAATTCCCTGTCTGCAGGATTACCTCCGTGCGCTGCTGAGGCCCCTCCTCCTCCACACGACGGCCGCAGCTCTGTGTTTGTAATTGACATTGTTGGTTGGTGGTCAGCTGCTCCGGTCCCCAGGGGCCTCAGAGCTGCGGTTGGGCCCCTGTGATGGTTTGAGGAGGGGGCAGCGGTTAGTGGCCCCTGACCTAGACGCGTGTGGCCCCTTGACCCCCTCCTTCCCCCAGGCCTCGAGGGTGAGGACAGTGAGGGAACAGAGAGGCCATGGAGCTGTTGAGCAGAGTCTGACCTTCAAACAGGATCTTCACAACACTGCATTTTCATTTATGTTTTTATCTTAATTAACTACATTCTGACTTAAAACAAGATTCTCCAATGGGACAAAGACATTTAGACTTACATCAAGAACTTATTTTCTCTCTATCTCTATCTTTTTAAAACAAGATCATTTTGCTTTGTCCCGTTGGAGAATCTTGTTTTAAGGCTCAGTCAGAATGTGCTCGAATCAAGACACGTTTTTCCAAATTCAAGCAATTTTTTTTCCATTGATTTTGCAGTGTGTGTATCATCCTCCTCAGAACAATGTGATTCAAAGATGGAGAGATGGAAAATCCCAGATGCAAATGGCATATATATCGTTTTGAACACACAAAGTTTCTCATCACAAACATACCTGGAGTCGTTCCTTCCTCCCCCCGCCCCTTCTGTCTGAATCACGGGTTGGCAATTACTTTCTTATGAGTAACGAGATGACAAGAATGAGTAACCCATCGTGTGGCAGAAGTTACCAGAGAGAATCTTAGAATAGGACTTTGGCCAGAGCAGTGGTTTTACTGTCTCCAAACTCACACTGTATTTGGAGGTAAAGAGCTGTGTGTGACTTTGTGTTGTTTAAATAACTTTGTTAGCTAAACCGTGCTAGCACCGGGTTGGACCCTCTTTTGCCTTCAAAACTGTCTTAATCCTTCGTGGCATAGATTCTAGTCCTGGACACTTTCCTCAGAGATTTTGGTCCATATTTGATGCAGTTTGTGCAGATTTGTCGCTGCACGTCCGTGATGCTCCTGTTGCATCTCAAAGTGTCTCTGTTGGACTGAGATCTGTGACACTGGAGGCCGTTACAGAACAGTGGACGTCATGTTCAAGAAACCAGTCTGTGAGGATTTGAGCTTCATGACAAAGTGTTTTATCTGCTGGAAGTAGCATCAGGAGATGGTCCACTGTGGTCATAAAGGACATGGTCAGCAACAATACTCTGTGGGCTGGGGCAACGAGGCTCCATTGGGACTCAAAGGGTGTCAAGGAAATATCCCCCACACCATGACCCCCCACACCATACCCCCCCCCCCCCCCCCCCCCGCACCATGACCCCCCCACACCATAACCCCCCCACACCAAACCCCCCCGCACCATGACCCCCCCACACCATAACCCCCCCACACCAAACCCCCCCACACCATGACCCCCCCACACCATAACCCCCCCACACCATGACCCCCCCACACCATGACCCCCCCACACCATGACCCCCCCGCACCATGACCCCCCCACACCATGACCCCCCCACACCATGACCCCCCCACACCATGACCCCCCCGCACCATGACCCCCCCACACCATGACCCCCCCGCACCATGACCCCCCACACCATGACCCTCCCACACCATGACCCCCCCCCCCACTGAACCGCTGATACAAGGCAGGATCCTTTCATGTCGTTGACTCCTAACTCTGACCTACCATGTGAGTGTTGCAGCAGAAACTCAGTAAATGAGTCGATGGTATAGAACCAGGTGAGAAAGAATTTTAGAATGGTGTCAGTTTGATTAAAGAGGATTGACAAAAACAATAAACAAACGATGGAAGGAATATAAACATTTAGATTTTGTGTTTTCTCCTAAACATTTTAGAGCCTTTGTTAAATCAAACGTCTCAAATTAATCCAACTCTAAATAAATGATCGTCCGTGTTTACGCTGAGCCGCCGTCATTATGACTGCTTTTCATTCTAAATGCTAAAACCCCCTCAAATTAAAATGCAAGCGCAATTAAGCGTCGAGACAGACGTGGCGGCGTTTGTCTTCGGAGCAGACGCCGTCAGACGCAGGAAGAGGCCGAGGGGGAAGGACCTAATTTGGTCGTGTGTAAATAGAGGTCGCGGCGCAGGCTGCAGCGTCACTAATGGAGCCGAGAGATGGATGTGTTATGGTAATGAGGACCAGGAAGCAGCGACCTTCAGGCTCCAGGGGACCCAGACTGAGCCAGACCCAGGGAGACCCAGGGAGACTGAGGCAGTCTTAGACCCAGCCTCAGTCCTGTCCTGGGTCTACAGTCTTAGTCCTGGGTCTACAGTCTCAGTCCTGGGTCTACAGCCTCAGTCCTGGGTCTACAGCCTCAGTCCTGGGTCTACAACCTGAGACCTGGGTCTACAACCTGCTGTATGAAGTCGAACAGGATTCTGCGATCCTCAGTGGCTGCAGTGTTCTGAGCCGGGGCAGCTGCGGCCGCTTTGTTAATGACAGCGGCTCCCACGTCCAGCGGCTGTGAGCAACGTGGCCCCGAGACCGTCCACACCTCAGGACTATTCTCTGCTTGTTGTGTGCGTGTCTGTGCGTAACCTGTTCACGCAATAAATACACCGCTGCAAGAAACAGTCCGTGTCTCCTCCCGAGGCGCAGCTAAACTCACTAAATTAAAGCTGGGGTACCTACATTGTCCCACAGCTCATGTTGGTTGTGCACAAAAGTAAAATGTTGTGAACAAATCAAACAGATTTTATGACATTCTGCATTTCAGACTTTTTTGAAATGTCCTCCTCCCTGTAACAAACAATAGTTGGTCTGTGTCCATCTCCCTCACTTTATTTTAATTGTTGAGACTGTATACATCCTGATCTTCGAGAGTATCTGCTTCTGCATAATGTTTCAATAACCGTAAAAGAAAAAGTGAAAACAACGCCCGGGCCGTTTTATGGTCCCAGTCCAGTCCGGCTCACAGATGGAAATAGTCGTCTTGTCGTTTTGAACATGTTACTCCATAGTTTCTCATCTCAAACAGACCTATAGTCCTCCCCCCGCCCCTTCTGTCTGAACCAGGAGTAGCCAATAACTTTCTCCAGGGTCCACATTGAAAAAATGTAAGTATTTGATAAACAAAAATATATATTCAGAAGAAAAGGAAAGAGAAACGTGAAGATGTTGTCGTTGTGTTTGTGTGTTTGCAATGTAGGGGGTACGTTGAAGAAATGACTGTATTAAACATTTATTATGTTGTTGTTTGAGATTTAATTTCTTGCTGTGATTGAACCAAAGTTAAAGCTAAAGAAGGTTTAGTGTTGGTTACAGATTAATGTTTTTGGAGAAGTATTATGGAGTAAAACATGTCATCGGATCACTAAGTGGGAAGTGATTCTCATTCATTTCCTTTAAATCAAACAAGGTCCGAGGCTCATATGGAAACGGGCCGTATGTAGCCCCTGGGCCACACTTTTCCCAGGTCTGGTCAGAAGGCTCCTTTTTTAACCTTCTCTGTAATGTATTCTTGGGTTCCATATCACGTCAGGGCAGTGGCGCAAATAACAAACGTAGGACAGGACGTGACGTATCCTGGCGGTGCAGTCTGCTGGGTTTATACACGGAGATACAGTAGAAGAAGAAGAGCTGTCAAAATGCCATCTTTTTGTGCGGTGTACGCTTGTAGCAACCGCACAAATACAGAGAAAGACAAGAGTTTGTTCATGTTCCAACTGTGGTCTCAGATAAAGGAGGACACTTCCAAATCACTGGAATGAGGCGGAGGTGGATAAAGGCATTCCCAGATAAGCGCCCCCTGCAGGCCACCCCAATGAAACGCAGTAATTTCTTCTGTTTTTTTTTATTTTTTCGAAAAAGCCCAAAATCAAGACTCTTTTGAGAAATGTTTTATTACTCCCTTAGAATTGAGTGTCCCCGATTAAGACTGTTACAACAACCATACACTGCACAGGAGGAGAGCCTTTTGACTCGGTAGCAAAACTGAGTTGTCCCACCTCTGCTCATGCGCCCCCTACTGGCCAGGTTCATGAAACCCAAGAATCATCATTCGTGGTCAGAGGCGTTTTCTGCCTTGAAAAGAGTCTTATGTAAACAGCCTCTTATGAAACTATTGAAGACATTTTACCTAAAGCTGAACTCATGACGACGGTCTACAGAAAGCAGTTATTATCCACTTTTGGATGTTTTGGTTTTTCTGAAGGTTGAAGCAAATGTATTTACTGGTGTCGTAGGAGGACCTTGATTCCTCTGGTTTAGAATCACAAGCTGAAAATATTCGGTGGTGTCTTTTCAGCAACAATAAAATGTCTCCTGCTGCGACACCACCTCAGACTTCTGCATCTTTCCACTTTTTCTTCAGTCTTTAAGAGTTTCACAGTCGTCCATTACATCATAACACTCTGACATTAGAAAAGCACTTTCTGGGGGCTGTCCGCTCCCTGCTGACCCTGCTGCTGCTGACCTCCCTCTCTCCCTGCTGACCTCCCTCTCTCCCTGCTGCTGCTGACCTCCCTCTCTCCCTGCTGACCTCCCTCTCTCCCTGCTGCTGCTGACCTCCCTCTCTCCCTGCTGCTGCTGACCTCCCTCTCTCCCTGCTGCTGCTGACCTCCCTCTCTCCCTGCTGACCTCCTTCTCTCCCTGCTGACCTCCTTCTCTCCCTGCTGCTGCTGACCTCCCTCTCTCCCTGCTGACCTCCCTCTCTCCCTGCTGCTGCTGACCTCCTTCTCTCCCTGCTGCTGCTGACCTCCCTCTCTCCCTGCTGACCTCCTTCTCTCCCTGCTGCTGCTGACCTCCCTCTCTCCCTGCTGACCTCCTTCTCTCCCTGCTGCTGCTGACCTCCCTCTCTCCCTGCTGCTGCTGACCTCCCTCTCTCCCTGCAGCTGCTGACCTCGTTCTCTCCCTGCTGCTGCTGACCTCCCTCTCTCCCTGCTGACCTCCTTCTCTCCCTGCTGCTGCTGACCTCCCTCTCTCCCTGCTGCTGCTGACCTCCCTCTCTCCCTGCAGCTGCTGACCTCCTTCTCTCCCTGCTGACCTCCTTCTCTCCCTGCTGCTGCTGACCTCCCTCTCTCCCTGCTGACCTCCTTCTCTCCCTGCTGACCTCCTTCTCTCCCTGCTGCTGCTGACCTCCCTCTCTCCCTGCTGCTGCTGACCTCCCTCTCTCCCTGCTGCTGCTGACCTCCTTCTCCCCCTGCTGACCTCCTTCTCTCCCTGCTGCTGCTGACCTCTGACCTCCCTCTCTCCCTGCTGCTGCTGACCTCCTTCTCTCCCTGCTGCTGCTGACCTCCCTCCCTCCTTGCTGACCTCCCTCTCTCCCTGCTGCTGCTGACCTCCCTCTCTCCCTGCTGCTGCTGACCTCCTTCTCTCCCTGCTGACCTCCTTCTCTCCCTGCTGCTGCTGACCTCCCTCTCTCCCTGCTGCTGCTGACCTCCCTCTCTCCCTGCTGACCTCCTTCTCTCCCTGCTGCTGCTGACCTCCCTCTCTCCCTGCTGCTGCTGACCTTCCTCTCTCCCTGCTGCTGCTGACCTCCCTCTCTCCCTGCTGCTGCTGACCTCCCTCTCTCCCTGCTGCTGCTGACCTCCTTCTCTCCCTGCTGACCTCCTTCTCTCCCTGCTGCTGCTGATCTCCCTCTCTCCCTGCTGACCTCCTTCTCTCCCTGCTGACCTCCTTCTCTCCCTGCTGCTGCTGACCTCCCTCTCTCCCTGCTGCTGCTGACCTCCCTCTCTCCCTGCTGCTGCTGACCTCCTTCTCTCCCTGCTGACCTCCTTCTCTCCCTGCTGCTGCTGACCTCCCTCTCTCCCTGCTGCTGCTGACCTCCTTCTCTCCCTGCTGCTGCTGACCTACCTCCCTCCTTGCTGACCTCCCTCTCTCCCTGCTGCTGCTGACCTCCCTCTCTCCCTGCTGCTGCTGACCTCCTTCTCTCCCTGCTGACCTCCTTCTCTCCCTGCTGCTGCTGACCTCCCTCTCTCCCTGCTGACCTCCTTCTCTCCCTGCTGCTGCTGACCTCCCTCTCTCCCTGCTGCTGCTGACCTTCCTCTCTCCCTGCTGCTGCTGACCTCCCTCTCTCCCTGCTGCTGCTGACCTCCTTCTCTCCCTGCTGACCTCCTTCTCTCCCTGCTGCTGCTGACCTCCCTCTCTCCCTGCTGACCTCCTTCTCTCCCTGCTGACCTCCTTCTCTCCCTGCTGCTGCTGACCTCCCTCTCTCCCTGCTGCTGCTGACCTCCCTCTCTCCCTGCTGCTGCTGACCTCCTTCTCTCCCTGCTGACCTCCTTCTCTCCCTGCTGCTGCTGACCTCCCTCTCTCCCTGCTGCTGCTGACCTCCTTCTCTCCCTGCTGCTGCTGACCTCCCTCTCTCCCTGCTGCTGCTGACCTCCCTCTCTCCCTGCTGTGTTCAATGATTTGGAACAAATGCTGAATACATGTTTTAAAGGGGAAACTCAGCCCCCCTCCCCGTCCCACAGACAGACAGCCCCCCCCCCTGACTCCCCCTCCTCTGCTGGGGGCTCGTGGGCGTGTGTGCTGTGGGTGAGGGGTGCACAGGAGTCCCCAGAGACCTCCCCCCCGCGAGCCCCTGCATCCCCTGGAGGAGCAGAAGTGTGTCCCACTCAGACACGTGCCGCTAATGTGTGCACCGGATTATGCAAGCGTGCACACACACACACACACACACACACACACAGAGAACTATACACACAAATACATATGCACACACAGACACAACACACACATACATACAGACAGACAGAACTATACACACAAATACATAAACAGACAGACACAGACAGAGACAAAAACAGACACACAAATACATAGGCCAGAGACACAGAGACACACACACCGACCGAAACATAGACAAATACATACAAATATTGACACAACACACACACCACATACAGAGAGACACTAACACACACACACACAAACACACAAATACACACAAACACGGACACAGACCACATACACAGACAACACACACACACAAATACAAACACACAGGCCCCATGCAAAGACAGACACAGACCACACCCACACAATGTACAATATACATGTACATACAAACACATATACAGACCAGACCACACAGACACACACACACACACACACCATCCTAACAGCCTGATTGTGCGTTGTCGTTAGAGCACAGTGCGACACACATTTGACTTTTCTCTGTGTATGAAACAGCTCTGACCAATCACATCGCTCCGCTCTATATTCCAGCTATGAATATATTTTCTTCGGATCCGTCTTTTTTGCTCATGAACTGTTTTATATCTAATTTCTGAACATATTTTAACCCAGTTTTCCCCAAAAGCCTTTATTCAGGCCATTTCTGTCCCTCAGTTGTTCAAATCCAGGTTAAAAACTTCACAGAGGAGAAGCCGGTCTCATGTCTCTTCTTTCCAAAATCTTCTTGTAACAACATTATGGTCACAGACATATAGTTTGTTGTTCTAGGATCTCCAGGTTCTGCACATGGTTAGAAAAGCAGGGTCATTTTTTTCAAAGATGATGCAGAGCCAAATCTCTCCTTTCCAATAACAAAAGCATTAAAAATCACCTGTTTTTACTGTATCTCAGACACACAACTCAACACTAAATGGAACGGTTTTGTCACTTCTGACTACAAAGCAACGTTCACTGCGCAGCTGTGAGTCTGAGGTGGTCGTCTGCAGCACTGGGGCCCCTCAGGGCACTGTCCTCTCACCGTTTCTCTTCACCATCTACACCTCAGACTTCACACACGACACACACAGCTGTCACCTGCAGAAGTTCTCCGACGACTCCGCCATCGTGGGCTGTAAGTAAGTAAGTAAGTAAGTAAGCTTTATTTATATACCGCCTTTCACAGACCAGAGTCACAAAGCGGTTACTGAGGTCCTTCGGAGTGAGCAGGACTTTTTATGACTCTGTGGTAGCTTCTGCCATTTACTACGCTGCCAAGTGCTGGGCCCCGGGCAGCACAGAGCGGGACAGAAACAGACTGAACAAGCTGGTCAGGAGGGCCAGCTCCACTCTGGGCTGCTCCCTGGACTCTGTGGAGGAGGTGAGGGACAGGAGGGTGCTAGCCAAAGCCACCTCCATCCATCCATCCATCCATCCATTTTCTTCCCTTTAATCCATTTCTGGGTCAGGGGGGTGGCAGTCAGAGATGCCACCCAAGTCTCATAGCACCAGCCCCTCACTGACCCTCTGCAGGTGGTGAGTCCACAGGAGGACGGCTGCTCTCTGAGTGTGAGCAGAGCCTTGATCTTTCAGTGGGGGCTTTTTGGGCAAAGTGGGGTTAAGTGTCTTGCCCAAGGACACAACGACAGCAGTCATCAGTGGGAGTCGGTGGAGAAGGTGCAGAGGTGGGAATTGAACCCACGACCTTCTGGCCTTAAGGCCAATGCTCTACCAACTGAGCTACTGTCGCCACCTCCATCATGGACAATACCTCCCACTGCACAGGACTGTAGAGGAGCTGAGGAGCTCCTTCAGTGGAAGACTGAGACACCCTCAGTGTAGGAAGGAGCTCTACCGCAGGGCCTTTATCCCCACTGCTGTCAGACTGTACAATAAGTCACTTTAAATGATCACTGTGTGAAAACCTGCACTACTATTGACACTGTTTCCAATTGACACGTGTCACTTTGTTGTACATAATTATTGTCACTTTTATTGTACACATATCCTGCATGTAACATGTTTGCACATTTCCTCCCTTTGCACAATCTGAGTGTCTCTATCCATGCCAAATGTGACATGTAAATTTCTCCTCTGTGAGATAAATAAAGCAATCTTATCTTATCTTATCTTTCATTTAATCAATTTTATACTTAGTCGGCTCTTCTTTAACCTTTTAAGGATCACCCTCCCTGTACAGGGAGGATTCAGATATTTTTCATTTAACAGCATCAGTATTAGAATTCACTTGTGCCAATATAGTCAAGCTATATCTCTTTTGAAAGCTTATTCCCACCTCTATACACGTATTATGTTCAAATAAACATTAAATATAACCAAAAGTATGAAAAAGGAGTCAAACTGTATATGTATATAAAATATACATCGTCCTTTCTTACCTTTTCATGCTAACATTCTGGGGCAAATCACGTCTAATCCACACATGTATGCATTCGTTTTGTTCGTGAGGGTTCATAGAATAATTATATCCAGTTGTTCTACAAAGTCATCCTTATAGTAGATATCCAGTTGTAACTACACATTTGAGTATTGAAAGTTGCACAAACAAAAACAAAACCTGTTCTTTGCGCACTGTATGAAGAAGGCATGTTACTATTTACCTAACGTCACTGGGTATGTTCGTCTTCCTCTCAGTCTTCCCTTCAAAACAAGCCCTTTCCCGAACTTTTCAGTGCTATGGTTTGGGAGGTAGAGTGAGTTGAGTAAAACAAGCGCACCTAACTTTACCGCTCCAGTCATATAGATATCTGTGCGTCACGACAGCATTGTCTTGACTACCATTGGCCGATTTGGATGTCAATCAAACCATCTTGTAGCCAATAATCTCAGGTTTCAGGCGATGTGTCGGACTTCAAGGTTCCTCCCACTGTTCGAGTGTTATTTGAATGCGTAAGAGACGAAAGCGGAGCATTTTCACGGAGAACACGCGCTATATCTATATAAATAATAGCTTTTCTGTAAACATTTCAATATCTGGAAAAAATCCTATTTATAGCAAGAGTAATAGCCAAAAAATGATATAATTTGATTTTTGGTGTAATAACGTTGATAATTTGCATGTAAAACACTTTGGCACAAAAATGGACCGCTTGTGCCGAATGTGCCCATTAGTCACAAAAAAGCCCCCAGCATCAAAATGGTTTCACCTAAAGGTCTAAAATTTCATACAGTTGTTGCCAACACCACAGACATCTGCTCTGGTGAGTTTGAACAACATACCATAAAGTATGTTTTCAGGAGATTATTTTGAAATTGCCTTTTTTTTTTTCGAGACAAAAAAAACTAACTTTGACTCATGTTTGAGAAGGTGTAGTGCAGACTGTGTCCTTCCTAAGAAACTAACATACATTTCCAGAAACTAGAAAGTGTTACCTGTCAAATGAGGCCTCATAACACAAAATCAGACACAAGATGTCCACACAATAAGCATTTCCATTTGGGTATCATAATTCGAGAAGGAGCAGGCGAAATTAGGTGATCCTTAAAGGGTTAAAATTAAATCTCCTGCTCCCTGAAGAATATTGGTATTACACATCTGCAGTCAACCGAAACCAAACTCGTGCACCGACACACACACCTTATAGATCTATCACACACACACACACACACACACATCTTTTAGAGCCATCGCTCCATCTCTCTCTCTCACACACACACCTTATAGATCTATCACACACACGTCCCAATTCCAAAGAGCAGTCAGCTGGTGAAAGTGCTCTGGCGCCCTCTGCTGTCCGCTCGGTGTGGTACATGCACGCGCACACAGGGCCAGGGTTTACAGCAGACACGTTTACAACCAAGAACAAAACTTTATTTGGGTTTTCTCACTGAACTGAAACGTGAGCTGTGCCTAAGTCTTCATACAGCATGAATAAAACTGATCCCCAGCTCCAGAAACTTTTCGTCCAATCAAGCATTTCCATCATAAATTCCCAGATACAGCAGCTCCTCGGAACTAGCTGTCCTTTCAAGTGAACACACTGCAACTTAAGGAACCTAATGTACAAGTCCTGTCAAAAACTAGCGCAAATGTGATTTTATTGTTGACAAGCAGAGTGTGATGTTAAGTGACGTACCTCAGCACTGTGGGATAAGTGCCTCCTCTGAAGAGATTTGGGGACCTTTATAGTTTTATGTTTGTAGTGTGTCGTCTTGTCTTTCTTTGTTCTGGACTACAAGTCTGTAATAAAGCTTTCTATCCATCTACTCGTTTGCAGAAGCCCCATAACATGATGCTGCCATCCCCATATGTGACACTGTGGGTTGGGTAGGAAGCAGCTGTGGAAAAAAAATATCAAGGTCCAACGCACTGAAACATAAAAACTGGCCTCAGTCGCTCCGTCTGCTTCCAGCTCTGCACCTGTTTACCTTCATTCACAAAAAAAATATATTGAAATGACATGTTTGTTTGGTGAATCTTGTGGAAATTGCAATCCCAGGCTGTGAGGCCCTCACACCACCATAAAGGCTGCAGAAGGCCCAGGACAAGCTCTCCCAGCTCAACGTGCCCGATTCCACCTGCAGGTGGATCACTGACTTCCTGACGGACAGGAAGCAGCGAGTGCGTCTGGGGAAGAATGTCTCGGACTCTCGGATTATAAATACAGGAGCCCCACAGGGCTGTGTTCTTTCTCCCCTGCTCTTCTCCCTGTACACCAACCACTACACCTCCAGCCACGACTCCGTGAAGCTGATCAAGTTCGCGGACGACACCACCCTCATTGGACTCATCTCCAACAACGATGAGTCCGCCTACAGGAGGGAGGTGGACCGGCTGGTGTCCTGGTCCAGTGGTAACAACCTGGAGCTGAACGCCCAGAAGACAGTGGAGATGATTGTGGACCTCAGGAAGAGCACTGTCCCCCCACCCCCACCCTCCGTGATGGACTCCCC